TAGTTGCTTTTTGGTCAACTTCAGTCTCAAATCATCTTCGAGTCGAATTCGATGACGATGTTTAGTTTTCATGTTTGCCTCGGCCGAAAATCCGCGCTCGCAGAGGTATGTTGTGTAAAATGGTAGTAAATATTTTATTGCCGCTTCGCTGACAAGATGATAATGATAATTGTACAATTAACACAAATTGTGTTAATTGTACAATTTTTGTTTCTTGCGTAAGAATTTCATTTAGGTATTGTCACAAATGCATTTTTTTGATGAAATTTCGAGAATATTTTTAGTTATAAATAAGCGAATTTGTGCATTCGACATCGTGTTGTAAATTGCCGAATTTTTGATAGTTCACCCATTATTTTTTTGGTTGCTTCATCTCATGCATTTAAATTTTAAATCGACCGATTTTAGATTGCCGCACGTACCCCTTCATGCAATTTCGCGTACCCCCAGGGGTACGCGTACCACTAATTGGGAACCATTGTTCTAGACAATAGAAAGTACAAATTTATCATCTAACAAATTCAGTTTATTCTAATACTAAAGGAATTGTGTTTAACGCAAGTACTTAATTATATTTAAGAGGGAGGGGGGAAAGAAAGGAAGAAACTCTGAAATGTTATAGATTATACGTATTTTTTTGTATTTTTTTTTATTTATTTCTCAAAAGACACTGTGGCCAGGTTGGCCTTTTACAAGCATCTTACAGTAAATCAACAAAACCAACCAAAAAAAGAACAAAACAAAAACAGGACGCGAGCTGAGAAAAAAAATTAATTAAGAACAAATATTATTGCGTCTTAAGTTTTTTTTCCGTTTTTTTACATTTTTTTCTGAAGATTTCATAACTCGATATGTTACGTAAATCGTTGCACAAACTATTTCAATAGAAGATTAATTGAAAGATCGGTGCAGATCTCCCCACCTGTAGTTTAACAATTGGAAGACTATATTCACGAATTATACGAGTATCTCGTGTTGATTTGCTACATTCACTTATACCAATTCCGAGGAAGCTATTTTCTTTTTTTCCCTTTATATATTTGAAGCCCTCCAATAGAATCTGTTTCCTGTAAACATCACTAATCTTGTCAATATTTTCGGATACTGATTCCATAAAGTTTAAATTATAAATTGAACGCATGTAACGATTTTGTGCTATCTGAAGTTCGTTAACAGCGTATAGAGATGCGGTTGCCCATACAGCGATACCGTATCTTATTCTAGATTCGATGCAAGTGTGGTACAGCCGTTTCGAGAGTGATGTGCTTAAAAAAGCTCGAATTTTCTTATTTATCCCAGTATACTTTACCAGGGAAAGTGCAACATCATCTATATGTTTATTCCGGCGCAGATTGTCATCATCAAAAGTTACTCCCAAAAACTTAATAGCATTTATTTTTTCTATGTTATAATCAGTTATTTTAATTTTTAGGTGAAGCGAATTGATTATTTTATTTCTATTTGCAAAGCGGAGGAATTGAGTTTTATTTTTGTTTATTACTAATCCATTGTTTTCCATATAACTATTTAAAATTTTTAAAATGTGATTGAAATTCTCCTGAAGAATTATAACGTTCGTATGAGAATAAGTTATCACTAGATCGTCAGTGTACATCAGTATATTCTCTTTTGGTATATAGTTAAACAAATCATTAATATATATACTGAAAAGCGGTGGACCCAGGATTGAACCTTGATTCAAATCAGCCAGAATTGTTAAATTTTCAGCAAAGCAAAGATTTACCAGTTAGGATGGGTCGGAGGAGTTATTTTTAAGTAAATCGATGTTTAAATCCCCGATTATTTGTAATTTATATTTTGCACATTTAGTTGATTTATGTAATAGTATTTCATTTATAACAGTGTTTCTCAACGAGGGCGATATCGCCCCCATGTGGGCGTTTTTCTATATTGAGGGGGCGATTAGTAACAATTTATATTTTGGGGGGGCGAAAAACAATTTTCTGGGCGATATAGTAAAACATTATATAAAGAATAATTAGATATTTTATTCGTTATATCGTACAATAATTAAACAAATAACATTATACTAGTCACTAGTCTATTCGATGCGGTACGNATAGTAAAACATTATATAAAGAATAATTAGATATTTTATTCGTTATATCGTACAATAATTAAACAAATAACATTATACTAGTCACTAGTCTATTCGATGCGGTACGAATTTGGCGTTAGCGTCGGCCCTCGGCATCGGAATTTTGAAGTGAAGGGGCGATGCTACGTAACGGTTTTACTGAAGGGGGCGACAATTCGTTAGAGGTTGAGAAACACTGATTTATAACATCCAAAAAATTCTGAAGTTTGTAGATGGGGAACTATAGACTATTACCAGCATCAAATTACCTACAACTATCGTAATTACATCTATATAATTCCTTGTAAAAGTTAGATCTGAAACAACTTCGTAATGTTTATCATTATGTATATATATTACTATACCTCCATGCTGATTAGGTTTCCTTTCTATTTTTTCTTGCCGATAGTCTTTTACATATGGTGGAGGATTTACATCATTTGTCCGAGTCTCGCAAAAAGCTAATACATCAAAGTTGCAGTTATATTCCTCGGTTGTTTTAAGTATTTCTAAATATTTATTATGTAAACCTCTTACGTTGCAATAAAAAACAAATATGCCCTTTTTGGAGAAGTCGTCTATCTTTGTGTGTGTTAATAATTCAGTCATTCCGAAAAATTTTCTCTAAGCTGTCCAATATTGGTATCCAAATTGTTGGAGACAAAGTATCCTATTTTAAATACACATTTCCGTTATTTGTCCAAGTGTATAATCTTTTTCCTTGTTTNTTTCGTTATTTATGGATTTAATTCTATAAGCATTCAATAGACCTGACTAATTAAAATTATCGTCAACAAACGAAAAAATTTTATTTGCTATTTCTGTTAAATCCTCATTCTGAAGTGTCGGCACGCCAACAACCTCCAAGCTTGAGTTGTTTTGATCCTGCTCCAACATACAGAGTTTTTCTTTTAGAGAATTTAATTCTGCCTTCGTACTTTTATTCTCTTCCTTTAGTTCTGTCATTGTTTCGATAGCAGTTACATAGTTTCTCTCTAAAACATTAATTCTCTCTTTTATTTTGTCTAACTTATTTGTTGAGAATTCTATCGATTTCTGGATTTCTATGTTTGTTTTTTTATATTACTCAACTCCAAGTGTATTAGTTTCACTTATTGTAAAATTATTTCAGAATTTTTGGTAGTTATACTTAAAGATGACGTTGGAGTGAAAGTTAGATTATCTGGTGTATTATCCACGTTTTTATTATAATTATGTGAAGTCATAATAATCTGCTCACACTCACCCAGTTCTCTGTCGTTTTCCAGTTCCTGTGTCCAATTTGCGTTGTTCTTAATGGTTTTCACTAATTTGCAATCTTCACATTTTCAAGTTTTTTGTAAGACTTGCTGAACTTATGAAAGTTTGCTGCCTGGATCCAAAAACAATAGAAGTGAGCAAATTTAGAGCAATTGGAACAAGTTAATAACTCACTTTCCGAAACTTTGTGCTTGCAAAAAGAACAAGCGCTCAAACGACGATTTGCCATAGCTCCACGCCTCCTCCACTCTCGCACGCATCATCAGTTAATGATCAACTAATTAAACGCTTATTACTTCAAAATACATTCATTCATTTAAAATTATACGTAACATATTTTCTATAAAAATACATGACAAAGAAGAAAAGAGACAGATTTATTATAACAAGTATTGATTATAACAAGCTATGATCCCATATGAGGCATAGAAAAAGCAAAAGACTAAATAGAAGAAAAAGATAATATAATTCTGTGATAAGTTTAACAAACAGCAATAACAAGATGCTGAACTAATATTTCAATTTTTAAGATATGATAGTATTATAATATCTTAAGAACTGAAATATTAGTTTACCATCTTGTTATTTAAAATTATTTATTAACTTTACTGATTTTTTAATAACTTTTTCCACCTTAAGAGCGTTACAGGGTCTTCCTTACAAGTTTATCATGGGTTAGGTAAAGTCCACAATGGTGAGAAACTGGCCCTACGTATCCGAAAGGACCGTCCCCTGAATAATTCTTATGGTTGCCTGTTCAGATTCAATCCCGCATCATCCAGTCATCAGCCTACCGCTTCTCGAGTTTCAGGTTCTACTTTGAGCATTCGAGAGAAAACACATTGAATTATTTAAATCTATTTAAGATTCCTGATTCGATGTTTGTCCATTTAATTAATTTGCAGAGAAATCGGTTAGAGATTTCAATTTTATTTTCTATAAAATGCACAAAGTAGTAAATATACTTTAAAATGAAGCTTTAAATTAATCAATACTTCCTCTTGTCACAATATTTTAAATATTTAATTTCTGACAGTTTTATTTAATATGCAAACAATTGTCACTCTGCGAATAAGAGGTTTCGTTACCACTTTTCTCTGTCAGGTGATTCTTAACCTCTTAATGTCAAATTAATTAAAAACATGACTTCAGATGAAAATCTTTCGTTATATCTAAAGAAAACATCTATTTGAAAAAAAAAAATTTTATTCGATTTTCATCAATTTGCCAAAATTGGTTCCTAAATGGCATTTTCTCCTCTAGATAGCCAACTTTACAGGGCCTGAAAATGGCTTCTCTGCACGAGTCGCTATCGTGTTGGAAAGCTGCCATTCGTACGTTAGCTTTAAAAATAATTAAAAAACAAAAACATGACAAAACATAAAATGAAAATTAATTTATTCACGTAAAGACATATTTTAAACGATTACAAGTAATAAGAAAAATGAAAAATAATTATAAAATACAATGTTATACACAGTACATTTACTTGTAGAAGCTTTACTGTCCTTTTAAATACTATTATTATTGTTAAATGTCTACTTTGGACTTTATTTATTAATAGGACTTAAACTGGTGGTGAAAGATTGACACAGCAATTAGAGTTAGTTCAGAAAAAAGTAGCGGTTGGGTATCCGCTAACCCAACTGTTGTTGGAATGGCTAACTGAGTGGACGCTGGAGGTAATGTTGGACCTTGAGAAGGACCATCTGTGAATACTGGCACCTGAAAAAATAAGAAACTTCTAATTAAAAAGAACTGTAATTATAATATAAAATTTTTAAATACATTTAGGTTCGTTTATATAGAAAAAATATATATAAAATTCAAATTTCCTTCACATATAATGATTTTCCCGTCAACAACTTACATAAACAACCACTTATATTTGAATAGTGCCAGTAACCTAACTAGAACCTATATAGGAGGAAAGCCTGAAACGGAAAGTGCAAACCTACATTCACCTCCATATCATTGTGGATATACAAACAATGTTGATAAAAAGATATTATATATTGTATATATAGAGAGCTCTTAGATATTGAACATATATACAGGTATACTCCCGGTTACAACCTTCTCACGATAAAACAAACTGCAGATACGACCATCACATATTTATACCCCTACCACGATCCAACTTAGCTATCTCAACCAATAAGACGCTCAGTCCGTTCCAAGTGTTGCCACCCATCCAGCTTTTGCATCAATTATCCGCGCGATGGGGCAAAGACAGAAAATATCTGGGTTTTAAAAAAATATAGCAAGTCTTCAATAATTAATTATTTTTAACAATATAGCTGATTTTATAACCATCAAACAGAAACGGTCAGATAATTTAATCAGTAAGTCATTTATAATAACATTCCAGAATAGATGTCCAGATACCAAGCCTGGAGGACAGCCGATATTTATAAAGCAGGTTTTTTTTTTTAACAAAGCCCAATTTAAGCTCGGCCATCGTCTTTTAAGACATCCTCGAGCAAATAGAAAATCTTTTTTGGTAATTTTAAAACTCGATAAGTTTTAAAACGAGGGCCACCGTGTATTGTCAGATGTCTCTTTGACGTCTAGAACGTGTGTGCACATGTGCACGTACGTGCAAGGCGTATTTATCACATTCAGGTCTTTTTCCTTAATTTATTTATAAAAGGAAGGAGTGATCCAGGTTCCTCCCAGCTTATGCTACCGAATATTACTATTCAAACAGTTGACCGTACTTGGTCATTCTATTTTATTCGCATTTTATTGTTTGCTTTGCGTGGCGTAAGACGGAACCAAAAAAGCACCGTTACACTCCATCTTACGAATCCGTAGAAAAACAAACCGAAATTGAATAAGATCTACACATAAAATAACCTCAATTCCTTAAATATTGGTCATTAAGTTACTTTATTTTTAAATTTTATGACATTTTATGAGGAAATGTAGGAATGTAAGGCGTTACTTTAAGCAAATCACGCAAAGTAACTAAAAATAATCAGCAAATCAATACCGTCGATTTATGTTAAGGTATACTAAAGTTATACGGCAACATTTCTAGAAATAATTGTAGAAAAATAAATATTTCTAGAAAATTTAATTCTATTTTATTCAATAACAAACACTGCTCCTAATGCTCTGAGTGTAATCGAATGCAAGAAGCTTAATATTTGAATTAAACGGGTAAAAACGTTGGCCTTTCTTAATATTTTAACATAAATTAGCGCCAATGCTATATATTACGAACGGAGACAGCGAATTAAATAAGAAAATATGGTAAAAACTCACCATCCACATAATAATTTAATTAGTTCTCGGCAGCCTGCGACGAAAGAGCAAACTTCTAGCAAAATTTTAACTATTCGTTAGCCAATTCATCGTCCGTAATGCGATTTCATTAGCTTACACATTTGTTTACAACACGCCTCCGAAAATTAACCACCATTTTTTTATTATCGAAAAGTGTTGCCAGATCTTGGAGTCCAAAAGATAATCGAAAAGTTAAATTAATTTTATCGATAACTTGCAACGAGTGTTATTCATTTATAAGAAGGAACACGTTAATATTTATAAATAATATTAATAATTTATATTAAATTCATTCTGTAGCAGTTGATTAACTTTTATGTTTTAGGTCCGTTAAGATCATGGAGTTATTGTTCCGCGTGTTCGGGTAGGTTCTTTTATTCCTCCGCGTAACTTCGCTCGAGCGGCATCCGTTTAAAAATTAACACGGTGCGTTCCTATATTCCGTCCGGAGTGCGTGCCTTCGGACGGCAAAAACGGCCGACTGTAGTACAGTCGACCCCCTATAAAACTGTTGATTTTTCCGTTTTATATGAATTCCATGTTGTACGAGTTACTTAGATTTTACAAATACGTGTGCCGGCCTATGAAGGCTCACGTATTGGTAAAATTTAAGTGGCTCGTACATGGAATTCATATAAAACGGAAAAATCAACAGTGTTATAGGGGGTCGACTGATAGTAGTTTACGGTGGAAAACAACATGGCGTTCTCCATGACTCAGATAGTTTCGTTTCGGGGTCCATTATGTGGTGTTGATTGAAAATTTAGAAACTGTGAAAGCGCAAGTTAGTACACGCGGTGGTGTGTCTTATCGAATTTTTTGTTTTTCGAATGGTAGCCGGCATTGTAAATTTTCGTGGTTATTTTGAATGCTCTGTCGGCAAGATAATTCATTTTACGATTAAATTTTATAATTGGGACCCTTCTTTTATTTCAAAAAATGCACATTTTAAAATCATAGATCCATACGTTACGATACTATCGATAGCACGGGCGCCGCCATCTTTCTTTCACCGTTGTTCCTAAATGCGTATAAACAGCAGCGCACTCCCGTAGCAGAGCGACCGCTATTAACGAACGCACCCTAAGTTATTTATACCGCTTCAGTTAAACAAAATGGCGACGCACGAAATTTCAATTAAAAAATGTAGTTATTTCATGTTAAATATTTTTAATTATAAAAACAATATAAGTGAACTTTGATAAAGCTTGATATCCTTTGTTCTACACGGATACAACAATATTGCACAGATGGCCGAGCGGTTAAGATAGTAGCTCTGGAGGTCACAGCATTGAATCCGAACAAGTCGAAAAATCCACAGGAATTTTTCGGGAGTGGTTGTCCGGATATGTCGGGCTCTGTCCCTCATCACCCGGCCACTCCATTGTGGCTGGGGTGAGGGATGGGGCCGAATCCATAACGGGTTTGCTAAAAGAGTCCCTCTTAATATCCACAGGGCACAGTTAAAAAGAAAAAAAAAAAGAAAAAATATTGGGTCGCGTGAGCAAAATGTTTAAGAAACATTGCTCTAGAGTACTCGTGGGGTACTCTACTCTTCATTAGAGTACCTAAGAACAACTGCAGTCCAATCTTCCTTTACTACTTTAGCCAAAAAGCAAGAGTAAAGACTGCTCTGAATATGGCGTAGCACAATGTCGAATATTTTCTGAAAAGTTTTGTATTCTTGTGCCATTATTATTACATTTTTTTGATTCGTCATTGAATGGCGGAGAATACATTATCGGTTTATTCGATATCAGTTGCAACAGCATAAAAGAGAAAAATTTGAAAAACTTCTGGAATATTTGGATAAATACATGAGGTATTTGGCTGCATTACCATACTAGCAATAATTGAAAATGAATATAATTTGAATTGTACCTTGTATGCCTAAAGTTATCTCGTGACTTATACCAAGTTATTCGTGTCTGTCGCCTACTTTGATTAATCTCCATGGAAATGATAACGTCATGCCGAATTTGCCAAGGGAGACAGAATTCACATTTCTTCACGTTACACCTTCATGAATTTGAATCCTGAAAGTACCAATGGTGGGCATTGCAATCTAGCCGAATGTCATGGAGGATCTATTAAGTTGGCACTTAATGTCGGCACCATTGGTAACCGGGAATTTAATAATTTTGGAAGTAAAGATGGAGTGAAGGTCAAGGCAGCATAATTGGCTACATGTCCACACACCATGCACGTGTGCTATGCTACCTGGTGTAAATTTAGGCTGCATACACACTAGGCGTTTTTAAACGCACGTTTTAAAGAACCAAGAGTTCTACTAAAGCGCCCGAAAAATGCGCATTTTAAGAAAAATCTATAAATGCGCACGTTTGAGTGTGTATGCCTATGTAGAACTCTTGGTTCTTTAAAACGCGCGTTTAAAAACGCCTAGTGTGTATGCAGCCATATACAGTATGGTCAAGTATACATACTTTGGTTTAAGGGTGGTAGTGTCCCAAACTACCCAGACTATTGTAACTATATATTTAATAAAGTTTTGTTCACCAATTGTATGATCTTTAGTGATTTATTGTACCTCTCCGGGTAGATTGGTTGCTAGTGGTCCAAGAGTCAGTTTGGGAAATCCTTGATTCACTTAATAAAGTACATATTCTGTCACTAGTGTATGAGACTAATTCCAGAATTATATGCAAACTGAAGAAAAGCATTTAAGATGGCAGCATCAATATTTTACATGTTTTGAAGTGATTATGCATATACAAAGGTGCGTAGATGCGCAACGATGCCACTTTTGGCATCTTCTGTGTGTTTAAATAATGTTTCTAATGAATGTCCGTTTCCTAACTTCATTTGTATTGTTTTGAGTGAATGGGGCCATTTTATGCAAGACACCCCTCATTGTGACTCCTCTATAAGGATAACTAAAAATGCCGATTTTTATTACTCAAGACTTAAGAGAAATGTTACAAATTTCTTAAATTAATAGTAATTTATTTGATGTTCAATGGCTATTTCTTGTCATGCCGTCTTTAAAATGGCAAATTGCTATCATTTCATTTCACGTGGTTGATGAATTAGAAAGTTTATGGCATTTTGACTTGTCACAATTATGACCAAAAACGTTTGTCATGTAATTCCTGATTACAATAAGTAGATTCTACTGAATAATAATGATTCTTCTAGATAGAGAAATAATTATATTATAGTTAGAAAGTATTTGACGTCGTTGTTTCTTGGTCTTTTGGCTTAGATGGAGGTATAATTTCTATTCGATGTTGTCGTTAACTGAAGACGATCAATCAAACTGATCAAAAATATTTTTAATTAATACCTTGCTGAGATCAAGAAGGATTTTTGTTTGTATTTGGCTCAGATGATAATGTAGTAATTTTTTGATATTTACATAATAAAATGTAGTAACTTTCTAAACTGCAAGGTTTAATTAATTTTAGATTTCATTT